GTTACGTCATCACTATGGAATATTTTCATCGGTTCGAATATGAAATGCCTCTCTCATGGGGGAAAGGAAGTTGAATTTTAATTTCAGATTCGTTCTCACGGAATAAAACTGAAAGGAGTTATAGATTGATATCTTTATTTAATTTACACCAGGGTACAGAGGCGCTACCGATAAAATTGACATACTTACAGATAAAAAGCGCTAAAGAGCTCTATTAGAATCTTAACAACTAAAAACTAACTATTTACCGTTGAATGGAATAATGAATAGCAGGAATAAAATAATAAAAAATGCAAATCAGCTAAAAATATCATCCTATTGGCTTAACCTATTAAAAATCAAATGATTTTTTTTCCATTTCTGTGCGACCCGCGGTAAACTGAAGCATGTTGCTTTTTTGTCTGGTTGCACTACTATATAGAAAACGGTTCCGAAGAGATCTTGATCTTGAAACTGTGGGCAATGTCCTTTGATTCGTCTTTTCATAAGCTTAGTTGCAGACATGATCATCACGCACACTTTGAAGAGTAAGCCATTTTAGGAATTCGAAATGATAACGATAAGATGTTTGACATATTCCACAAAGAGAAGTGGATATTTCGTTAGAAACGTCACAGTTGTTCCCGGCCAGGTCAAAAGTGCTCTTTTAGTTAGTTAGCTAGCTAGCTAGCTAGCTAGCTAGTTAGTTAGTTAGTTAGTTAGTTAGTTAGTTAGTTAGTTAGTTAGTTAGTTAGTTAGTTAGTTAGTTAGTTAGTTAGTTAGTTAGTTAGTTAGTTAGTTAGTTAGTTAGTTAGTTCTTTTTGTTTCATCAGGTCCTGCTGTTCCCGCGGTAGCTGTAGGGTTCATATGTAATCACGATTCTCCTTTTCTAAAAGTATCTACTTTTGTTGTCTTCTAGGGTGCGTCTCTTTGGGACAATCCAAAAGACGGATTTTGCGTCTCTTTACTTAACAGATTAATGTAAGATCACTCGGATCATGGTGCATCAAAGAATCCATGAATCCAAGCTAGGCAAGGATTCTTTGATGCACCATGATCTGAGTGATTTCCATTTACCAAATTTACGTCAGCTTTTCATGCGTCTGTCCTGTTATTGATCACGAATTTCGTCCTAACATTGTCAATCCGTAGGCTACTTCAACAATGTTATGACGAAATTCTTTGTCAATAACAGGACAAACGCATGAAAAACTGACGTCAATTTGTTTTATACGATAAGAAATTGTCAAATTGGCCGCTCTCGCTCATCGCATAAATTGTAAATTCATGTGTCTGTCCGGAAAATGAAAATTAGCCAATGAGTGCGAGAGATTTTCTGCAGTTATTGTCAAATAATGGATTTTAGAATACAATCTTGGATTTATCCCAAAGAAACGCAACCCCTAGTCAATTTTTTGACAAAGTGAGGGTTGTAAGTGTATTTCAATCAACTTACTACGCACTTCTTGCAACAACGAGCCTCGCGGTAAGGACGCATGTATAATACTGACCTATCTCTTATACCGTAGCTGTGAAGAGTGCGGTCATCTTCTAGTTTGTTGCCATCAAAAGTAATATGTTGCTGGTTGGTCGGTATTCTTGTTTCGTCCCTTATTTCTCTCTTCAAAGCTTGGACAGTGTGTCCCGGTACCATCACTATTGTAATCACGGTCTTTCCACTGTCCGTCTTCACGAAAATGTTCCTGAGGAAATCAGTGGTTGAAGGGGAGGACCGAGCACGGTATAGTACAGGTCTTAAACCGAAGCTGGGAACAGTGAAGTCAACCTCTAACTCGTAAAAAAAAAAAAAAAATGTAAATCTTACTTATAGTGGTCAAGCACTTAGCTATACAAGCACTAAGCTTAGCTCGTTTACAGGCATGCCACTGAGACAAAGGAAACAAATATTGCAAATAAACGTAACATAGTTAAAAATCCCAACTGGCAGAAGGCAGAACAGTTGGCTATTTACAAAGCGTAACCGAGGATTTGAACTCGGGACTACTAGTGGCGGGGTGGAGGTCTTGAACCCGGGAGTTCCGGATTACATCACCAGCGCCCTAAACCACTCGGCCATGCTGCCTCCACGCGTTGCCATCAAAAGTAATATGTTGCCTGACAAAATCAGATACCGGTACATCTAACAGGTAGAAAAAATATATCTTTACTTTTATAATGTTGACAGAGCAAGAAAAGCGTTTAGTGACATATCTAATTCACGTTGATATAGCTGCTTGTAAAAGTTCTCTACGAGGACTGTCTTTGAGGCAGCGTCCACAGTACGCCGGAGGAATTTGAAGACGCAGCGGCCTACCGTCTCACTAATCCGTCATGAAAACGGAGCTTTTTAGAAAAGCTCTTCAAACCGGAGGAATTTGAAAACGCCGGCTTTGCGTTTTCGTGCGGACGGAAAATATTTTGAAAACGGAGCTTTTCGAAAGCGATGGAGTCACAATAATCTTGTGATTTCCCTGACCGAGTTGTTCTCAAACACAAACTTCAAATGACCAGTGATTGTTGCGTTTTTAAATTCCTCCGGCGCAGTGTGGATGGGAAACATTTGATGCGTGTTCAGAGTGAAACCCCCGTTTTCAAATTCCTCCAGCGTAGTGTTGACGGAAAACATTTGATACGTTTTCAGAGTAAAACCTCCGTTTTCAAGTTCCTCCGGCCTAGTGTGGACGGAGCCTGCATCACCTCGTTCCCCTTGAGTTTGAGTTAAGAAGCGCAAAAAGTATCCTTTTACTTACCCACAGGTGCTTGCGATGCTTGCGATGTTCGCGATGTTCGCGATGGTAGCGATGTTCGCGATGGTAGCGATGCTCGCGATGTTCGCGATGGTAGCGATGCTCGCGCTGTTCGCGATGGTAGCGATGTTCGCGATGTTCGCGATGGTAGCGATGTTCGCGATGTTCGCGATGCTAGCGATGTTAGCGATGTTTGAAAGCCGTGATGAGAGGAGCTCAGCCTCTCTAAGGATCGATTCACTTTTACCAGCTGATCTTTGATGTTGTCTGATTCGTCTCGAACTGTTTTCTCTAAACATTGAACTTCTTGAGCTGCATCTGTAAAACCCCTTTCAAGCACATCATTTATGCCTTGGGCTGTTACTCTTATGGTATTCTCTAAGACTTGGCCTTTCTTTTCTATTGCATGTGTTCTAGATTCCACCACCTCCTA